CCTTCCACTGTAAGAGACTTTTCTGGTTTTTTTTGTGAGATAATTTACCCCATTCTACCTCTCCCTTTCTTCTTCTCCGAGTATAATCCTCTCTCATCCCTTAATTTTATTCTCCAGATATGACCCCTTAATCTTCAACTCACCCTGTGCCTCTATCTATCTATCTACATATACATACATATAATTTTTTTCCTCCAACTACCCTAATACTGACAAAGGTCTCATGAGTTATAAATATCATCTTTCCATGCAGGAATGTAAACAGTTCAATCTTAATAAGTCTCTTATGATTTCTCTTTTCTGTTTACCTCTTCATGTTCCACCTGAGTCCTGTATTTGAAAGTCAAATTTTCTATTCAGCTCTGGTCTTTTCATCAAGAATGCTTGAAAGTCCTCTGTTTCACTGAATGACCATTTTTTCCCCTGAAGGATTTTACTCAGTTTTGCTGGGTAGGTGATTCTTGGTTGTAATCCTATCTCCTTTGCCCTCTGGAATATTATATTCCATGCCCTGCGGTCCTTTAATGTAGAAGCTGCTAAATCTTGTGTTATCCTGATTGTGTTTCCACAGTACTTGAATGTTTCCTTCTGGCAGCTTGTAATATTTTCTCCTTGACCTGGGAACTCTGGAATTTGGCTACAATATTCCTAGGAGTTTTCCTTTGGGGATCTCTTTCAGGAGGAGATCTGTGGATTCTTTCAATTTCTATTTTGCCCTCTGGTTCTACTATATCAGGGCAGTTTTCCTTGATAATTTCTTGAAAGATGATGTCTAGGCTCTTTTTTTGATCACGGCTTTCAGATAGTCCAATAATTTTAAAATTCTCTCTCCTGGATCTATTTTCCAGGTCAGCTGTTTTTCCAATGCGGTATTTTACATTGTTTTCTAATTTTTCATTCTTTTGGATTTGTTCTACTGTCTGATTTCTCATAAAGTCACTATCTTCCAATTGCTCTATTCTAATTTTTAAGGAAGTATTTTCTTCAGTAATCTTTTGGACTTCCTTTTCCATTTGGCCAATTTTGCTTTTTAGGGCATTTTTCTCCTCATTGGCTTTTTGGACCTCTTTTGCCATTTGGGTTAGGCTATTTTTTAAGGTGTTATTTTCTACAGTATTTTTTTGGGTCTCCTTTAGCAAGCTGTTGACTTGTTTTTCATGATTTTCTTGCATCACTCTCATTTCTCTTCCCAGTTTTTCCTCTTCTTCTCTTACTTAGCTTCTCTAAATCCTTTTTGAGCTCTTCCCTGACCTGGGACTGATTCCTATTTTTCTTAGAAGCTTTGGATGTAGGAGCATTGACTTTGTTGTCTTCTTCTGGTTGTATGTTTTGATATTCTTTGTCACCAAAGTAAGGTTCTATGGGTCTGACTTTTTTGCACTATTTGCTCATGATCCCAGACAATTACTTGAGTTATAAACTCTTTTTTAAGGTAGGGGTCTGCTTCCAGTGTGGAGAATGTACTGTCCCAAGCTTCAGGGGTTTTGTGCAGCTGTTTTCAGAGATATTTCTAGGGATCTGTAAATTTTCAGTTCTTCCAAGGTGATATGACCAATGGTGAGGTATTTACTCCTTTCCTGGCCTGTGCTCTGGTCTATGAGTGACCACAAGCACTCTTTTCTGCCTTAGAACTGGGAGGAGGATTCGCTCTCACAACAGCTTTTCAAATATATGAAGCTGGCCCTTATGTCCCCCTATTCTAGTATTATCTTCTCCAAGGTACACATATCTAGTTCTATCTTTATATCATCTATTCTCATCTTTATACCATCTATTCTCATTTGCCCCATGTCCTTCATTATTTTTGGTTGTCCCCCCCCTTACAATTCCCAGTTTATGAATATCCTCCTTAAACCACCCAGCTCAGAACCAAACAATGTTACAGGTGAGGTCTTAAAAGAACAGAGAATAGTGGGAGTATTATTTTCCTGTGCCTGGAAGCTATGCCTCTCTTAATCCAGCCCAATATTGTATCAGTTTTTTTTAGCTTTCATATTACATTGTTATTCAAATTGGGCTTATATCCATTAAAAACCTTGATCTTTTTTTCCCCAAAATAATTGCTGTCTAAATATGCCTCCTCATCTTTCACTTGTGAACTAGGGGCATTTTAAAATATCCAAATATAAGACTTTACATTTATCCTTGTTGAACTACATCTTATTAGATTCAAATTAACTCTTAATCTAGCCTTTTAATAGAGTTTTGTGTACTGACTCTGGTCCTGTGGGTTAGTGATCCCTTTCAACTTTGCATCATATGAAACATTGATGATCATGTCATCTGCCTTTGTCTGAGTCATTTGATAAAAACATTAAACAGATAGGAACAAGCATAGAATTCTAAGGAATTCCACTAGAGGCTTCATGTTGAGTTGGCACTGTTCCATTAACAAATACTCTTTCAGTCCAGCATCTAAGCAATTCTGAATTTTATTGTGCTATCCTTTAGTCCCAACGCCTTTATCTTGTCTCCGAAAGAATGGATATGGGATACCTCATCAAAATCTTTGCTAATGTCTAAATAAATGATATCTCTAGCATTCTAATCATCCACCTATTCAGTAATCCCACCCCCAAAAAAGGAAATTAGATTATTCATTCAAGAAACCTTCTCTGAGTAAGCAATGACCTTACCCTGCTAGTGCTGCATCTAGCACTTTGCACATCTCTTCTGTGTTTATCATTTATTATAGCTATTTTTATATTTGGCATATCTACCTCTTTTAACTCTATGTAAGCTTTTTCAAGGCAGGAGCTGTGTCATATCAATTTTTAAAAATTTCACCATGTCTAGCACAGTGCTGTACAGAAGATACACTTGATAATTTTATCCACTGAATTGATTTGAAATATCTATCTATTTATATATAGATGGTTTACTTAGAAATCCCAAAGAATAATCAAGAAAACTAAATGAAACAATTAATAGCTTCAGTAAAGTGGTAGGATGCAAAAAAAATCCCAGAAAGTCAATAATATTTATATATAGTGTTAACCTGAAAGTTTGGTTAAAGAAGGCAAACAAGTTAGGTGATACATGATTATATAGTTTATTCCCTTTTAGCTAGCAAATCACGTTAACATGGAAGCCAGAAGGTGATTCTGACTCCAAGCTTAAGCAAAATGAGAGGGGTTTTATACAGTTTAGAATGATCAGACTCAGGATGTCTGTATTACAAAAAAAAAAGGTATAGCCTCCATATGTTTCCTAACATACAACGTAAAAAAAGGAAGTTACCTAATTGCATAGATTGTAAATACAATAGAAGAATGTCAAAGTATCAATCAAAATTATAGATCCGGGATATGTGTTTCCTCTACATAACATATGTCTGTAGGATACAAAACAAGGAAAAGTCTCATTAATCAAGAGAGTGTTTGGTCCCAGACATCCTGGGCTCAGTGATGACGAACAGGAAGAATGTTAGTGAGCTCCCTTTGGTCCTGAAATTTGCTGACACAGGAAGGGGTGTTTTTAGTTCACTCAGAGAGAAAAAGATTAATTCAGGTTTTTGGCCCTTATTGGGGCTCAATTGATCTCAAATGATTATCAATAGCAATAACAGAATTCATGAGGAAACAGTAGAAAAGAAGTCCTATTCAAAATAACTACGAAAGGCTTAAAATATCTAGTGAGTCAATCTACCAAGGCACACTCAAAATAAATAAATACAATTATAAAATATTATTAAAATACATAAAGAATTACTTAAAATTGGAATGATATTCATTGCTCATGATGGGGCCCCATCCATATAATAAAAATGATACTACCTAAATTCATTCATAGATTATTGCTATACCAATCAAATTACCAAAGAAAGTTTCCATAGAACCAAATAAAATAGTGACAAAATTCATTCAGAGGAATAGAAGGTCTAAAATCTTGAGAGAATAAGGTAAACGATATATACAATGTCTGTAACAATGTATAGAAAGAGCTATAACCAAAAATGCAACTGACCGCTTGACCCTAGGGAAGAAATATGACCACTAAAGCACCGTGTTCCCTTCTTTACAGGAGTAGAGAACTCTGGGTATGGAGGATTCCCTGTATTGTCAAATACAGGTTAATTTTACTGAACTGCCTCCCCATCCCCCACCATAGGTATTCTATATTAAAAGAGCTAGATATTTGGGTAGGGGACCAGGAAATGATGTATTCAGAATAAAAGGTGATGTGAAGGAAAAAGATATAAATAAAAATAGAAAAAGAAAAAAGTACACCTGATTTATTCTTCAACAGCTTTTATATAATAGAGAGTATGGGTCTGTCTATAGTAGGCTTGGAGTCAGATGACCATTGTTTGGTGGCCCTTCTCTACCATGTATTATCTATGAGACCTTCAATAAGTTACTCATCCTCTTTGGCCCTCAATTTCTTTGCCTGTAAAATTGAGACAATAACATTTGTACTTCCTACCTCACAGTTGTTTTAAGACTCAAAAGAGATATTAAGTCTAATGTTCTTTGTAACCAAATTCAATAAACAAAAATCTACATTTAGCTTGATTTGTCTGAGGCCTCATAAGTAAGGAAAAATTAATTTTGGGGCTCTGCAAGAAATCATATATTTTAGAGGTCTTTTAGATGATTTTATCTTTATTTATTTATTTTTTTTGGCTAGGCAGTGGGGTTAAGTGACTTGCCCAGAGTCACACAGCTAGTAAGTATTGTCTGAGACCGGATTTGAACTCAGGTCCTGCTGACCCTAGGGCCAGTGCTTTATCTACTGCACCACCTAGCTGCCCCTTAGATAGATTTTATCAACAAGGGTTGAAACATAAAGAATTTTCTACTTGAGCCTCATTTGACTAAAATTTTCAATTAAAACAGCATCAGCTAGTATCTTCCTGGGCCAAGTATTCTGTTTAAACCAAGTTTTATGGCACTTCATTTTATTTGGCCTAAAGTGACTGCTTTTAAATTTCAAAGAGATATCCCTTTTTGTAGGGTTGAGGAATTTGGTGACCAAGTTCATGGTTGCCCTAGAAGTACCTGATGTGATGGTTCAGCTTCTTTCCTAGTTTGCAAGCTGACCCGGTTTCGGTCTCAGACGAGATCTTCTGGTGCCTGCCAAATCTATTGCTGGCAGCCTCTGCCCCCCTCAGTAAAGCAGAAAGCTGAACATGGAGAAAGATGAGAAGACAAGAGATCAATTGAGTGGAATTAGGTTCAGGGTAAAACATTCACATAGACCTTTCCCCCCTTACATAGTATTTTAATCTAATGATTTCTAGCAATGTTTACCTAACTGTATCACCTACACAGAGAGTCAGGGTAGGTTAGCAATTAACTATTTTTGAAGTCAGGAAGACCCAGATTCAAATCCTGCCTCTGACACGTGCTGACTGTGTGACTGTAGGCATATCAACATATCACTCAGGGTTCCCAGGTAACTCTCTAAGACTATATGTTGCAAGATAGTTGCTGATTTGTATTTGTATTGGAGTTTCTTCACTCCAGAGCCCCCATACTCATGCAATCAGTGAAGATTTGTTTAAAAAACGCCTAGATAATGATTTACAGCAGTTGCTTACAGGAGCTGGGGGTAGGGGAGATTGATTTCTGTTTCTTAGTGTTTTATATTAGCCAGCTTGAGACTGGTCTCCTGAATTTTCTCTTTATAGCAATGAAACATTTTGTTCCATCCAACTGTGTTTCATGGAGATGAGATAGGGGCTAGGAAAAAGTAAGCTGTCCCAAATCCCAGCATTTGGAATGAACTTGTTCTTTTCTCTATGCTATAAGAAGGAAAATGAATTCTAGAACTCCTGTCTTTTTGTAATACAATCATTTACCTTAAATACTCTTCAAAACAGGATATTCCTTTCCCAAAGCATCCATGGGACTATAGATTTAGAGCTAGAGGAGACTTTTGAAGTCATTTAACAGATAAGGAAATGGGGACATAGAAAAGATAAGTCCAAGGTCTCATAACTAGCAAGTATCTGAGTTAGTATTTAAATGCAGTTTAGGTGGTGCAGTAGATAAAGCGCCTTGAGTCAGAAAGATTCATTTTCCTGAGTTCAAATCTTGGCCTTACTAGCTGTGTGACCCTGGGCAAGTCACTTAACCCTGTTTGCCTCAGTTTCCTCATCTGTAAAATGAGCCAGAGAAGGAAATGGTAAAACCACTCCAGTTCCTTTGCCAAGAAAATGCCAAATGAGGTTACAGAGAGTCATACACGACTGAACAACAACAGCAACAACAAGAACTTCCAGATTGCTAGTCCACTGCCCTACCTATTACTGCCTCAGAGATTTCTCCATAAGGGGATTTATTAAGCCCTACCCAAGAAACTTCATCTCTCTATTGCAGGAAAGCTAGAGAAGAGTGAACCCTTCTGAAACATTATTTTGATGATTCAGAATTGAACCTCAGACCACAAAGCTAATAATGTTATTTGGAGATCATAGACCTAGATCTGGAAGGGTCCTCTGAGGCCATCTAGTCTACCACTCCTCTCCCGTTTTGAAGACAAAGAAATCGAAGCCTAGGGATATTTGGTGAGCTGCCCACAGTTGCACAGACAGTAAGCGTCAGAAGTGGGGTTTGAATGCAGAACTTTGGACGCTAGGGTCAGTGCTTTTTCTGCTGTATCATGCTGTATCATAGTCACTGCCCCACTTAAATCCAATTCACAAGCATGTCAAGACATTGCCCTCATGATGTCATTGGTCCTCTGTGAGGACAAAGGACAAAGAACAACAATAGCCATTCATCCCTTCTTTCCCTATTCCTATGATTAAAGAGGCTGGTCTGAGATAACACACTGACAGCATTCTAGGGTCTCAGCTCAGTGTTATCAGTGTTCCAACGAGCCATTTATGCCTGAACAGCCCTGATACCACCGCTGTCCCCAGGGGGCCACTCCCACAGAGTTCTGAGCCAGAAAATCCTAAAGCTATTTAAAAAGCCAAACAGAGCAAACACTTTCTTACCCCTTCTCTTCTTTCTTCTTTTACTGCTTTGCATTCAGCTCCACACCCAATCCACTCCTTTCCTGTTCTGCTTTGGCTAATCTGAGACCTGGTCACTTTCTTAATACACTTCATGAGTTTATAAATGAGATCTTATCTCTTTCTGTTTCCGGTCTGTCCTCAGATGGCAGCCATTCAGAGGCCCATTGGTCATCTTCAACGTCATTCTATGGACCCTATCCAGCTGTGTTACACTTTGGACTAGAAATGGTGTTCCAACGAAGGCACACCATGGTCTCAGACAAATCTTTTTCTTGACATTGGGACTGTCTTTCTGGCTGTAGCAGCACACTGGGCAGAGAACAGCGAGTGAATGATAGCTATGGCATCTGTATCAAAGGTACAGCTTGCTACTCAGTAGCCACTCATTCAGTGAAGAGTTTCTGGTGGTTTGAGCTTACCACCACACTCCGGAATTATTTTGCCCACTTTAGCAAATGCAAACAAGCTGGGTTTATGATTGGTCAATTTATTTCCACTCTCTGGGCCTCAGCTTCCTCACCTTTAAAATAAAGGGGTTCAGACAAGATGACTTCTGGTTCTAAAGCTCAAATTTTACAACCCCATTTTGAATTCTAAACCTGGAATAGTGTCTGTTTTTTAATTCAGAAACTTGGTCTGACTTGTTTATGTTTTGTGTGTGGTTGATTATGGTTGGTTTCATAATGTGATACTTTTAAGTATCACATTATACCTATGTTCTTCTCTATAACCTTGCAATTCACTTGGTCCAAAGCAATAGAATTCCAATTTAACCTTCCACAAAATGACAAGCAAAGTAGTTTTTGTTGTTGTTCAGACATTTTCAGTCATATCAGACCCTTTGTGGCAGCATTTGGGGTTTTCTTGGCAGAGATACTGGAGTGGTTTGCCATTTCCATCTCCAGCTCATTTTACAGATAAAAAAACTGAGGCAAAGAGGATTAAGTGACTTGCCCAGGGTCACACAGCTAGTTAAGTGTCTGAGATCAGATCTGAACTCAGCAAGATGAGTCTTCCTGACTTCAGGCCCGGCACTCTATCCACTGCTCCACCTAGTGGCAAAGTAGTTTAGGTACTCCAAAATAATGGTTAGTCTAAAATAATTTCTCTTTGCCCTGGTAGTTCATGTTTGATCCCTCCTGTCTACAAACCAGTCGTTATTATGTTTTGTTCAGGCTAACATTAAAATGAGATTTCAGTCAGCCAATAACATTACGATAACAAAAGAGGAAAAGATGCATATGGTGGGAAGAGGTGTAGAGGGAGGCTACCAGCTTCTCAGGTCATAGGATTAAAGGCTGGGTCATTGATTTAGAACTGAAAGGGACTTCAGAGTCCAACCTCCTCATTTTACAGATGTGGAAGATAAGGCCAAGAAAGGTGAAAGTCACTCAGATGAAAAGTAGCAGAGGGAAGGGCTGAATGTAGGTCCTCTGACTCCAATTCCTTTCCACTTACAGATTCTACTTGAGTCATAAATGATTGAGGAGGAGCCAGCCAAACTTTTCCAAGGACATTCGTGTTCAATAGGGGTTATAAACCAATATGTCTTGGGCCTTGGAGCCTTCTACTATGAAGAGAATGACTTATAAGTTGTGATTTTTAAGCTAAGCTTCAATTCGCATGTGTTTGGAACAGGGTACTATCACCTGGAGAAATCAGGAAGGGCCTTAGGAAGGAGATGACTTTAGCTAAGTTTTGATATAAATGAACTTCAGATTATAAGAGGCATAGATGAGGAAGAAATCCTGTACCAAGGCATAGACACAGGTGACAAAATATTGTGTATAGGGATTGATAAGCAGACTGGTTTGACCAGTCCGAAGAGTAAGAAGAAGACGGATGTGTGATAAACCACAGGGGCCATAGTATTTCCATAGATCTTCCCAGCCAAGGCTGTCCAATGTTTTTACAAAGAAAATCCTAGTTTAAAGGTCAGCTGGGCATGTTTACAGTGGCCTGTGTGGAGGTAGACTGGTACTTTTGGCACACATGTTATCAGAGAGATTCAACAGTACTAAATCTTTCTGCCTGAAACTCTCCTTGGCATGTTTACTTTTTCTTTTCTTTCCACCTTTTCAAAATTCTTAAACAACTGTTAGCTCTAAGTCAGACCTGTCTCATGGAAGTTATGTTTGTACTGGACAGAGTGTTATGGACAAAAGCCATGGAGTTGCCTGGGCCTGAATCTGTGACATCCTGGGGCCGAGAGCAAATACTGACAAGGCACTGGGCCTAAAACAATTGCAGAGGCCAGACAGGTGGAGGACATGCCTAGATACTAAGTGTTTCAGATAAGACCACTCCTTTTTGCACTGAAGGACATCAACCTTGGTGACAGTGCTCTGGTCTCTCATTGCTCAAGTTGTAACCAAAAGTCTGATCCTAAACACACAAACAAAAGAATGAATGAATAAAAAAAAATGCCCAAAGCTTGTCTTGTATTTGTCATGGGTGTAACATGGGTCCCCTGTTACACTGGTTCAGTGTGACTGTTTGGGGTAATCAATTCTGAAACTCAATTCCTAAATCCCCTCATCCAGTACAACTCCCCATTGCCACATAATAAAAAGATTGCTTAATCCAATAATAAGAGTATTTAATTAAAGTGTTTTTCCTAAGAAGCGCTTTGGAAAGCTTAACAGCTAACTTCAGTGTGATGTGATCTGTATGAATGTTCTATGTAGCAGGTGTTCTTATTGTCAGTTTGATATCAGAACTCTTCTGTTTTCTCAGAAGTCCTTTATTATTTTTGAATTCATTTATCCTTATTCTTATGACTGTAGAGCTTTGATGTCATTTAAAAACAATCTTGCTGTTTAGTGAGTCAACCATATTTGCATTCACCACCATTTCCTCAGGAGTCAGTCAGTGACAACTCCCAAAAGCCAATCCCAACCTTGCTCTGGAAAACAGCTAAATCCCCAAGTTCAATTTCAACTTGTCCTCTCAGTAGCATCATTTCCCCTACTCCCACTCATTTAGCATGTTCATTTTCTCTGTCTTGTTACATTCCTTAGAAAGGAAAGGGAAGGAAGGAAGGAAGAATGGAAGAAAGGAAAAGGAAAGGCTAGCTTCAAAAGAAATTAAACAGCCTCGCAACTGCCCCCAAAAAGGTGTTGGACTCCCCAGAAAGGAAGTAAGCACACTGTATTGATTACTTGAAGCTTCGAGACCATCAGGTGAATCCTACTCCATGGACTTGCAGTTCATAAGGAGTACAGATAAACTGAAATCCACAATAAGCAAACAATTTAGGTCAGCTCAAAAGGAAAAAAAAATAACATGGATGAGCCCCTAGCACATGCTTAGGACCACTAGTGGGTACTAGTATTATGGGGCCTTAACATTCATACTACTCATATGAGTTCTCCTCTTTCCCTCTGTGGGCACGTTTTCTTTTCCCAACAAATCAACACAGGAACAGATTCCAGTGCTTCAACACTCAATCATGAAAAAGTTAAAGAAATGTGTCTGATGTGAAGAAACACATTGGAAAACTATCCATTCATAGTCTGAAAACAAAACAAAAATAACATTTTTCCGTGTTGAGTCCTGACAGATACATAGGTGGTCCAAAAATATCCCAGATAAGCTCCCACTGTCCAGTGCTATCTCTGGGCTACCCCTCCACCCCAATTTGTATACATAGGTTCATTCCACTTAGACCAGCAGAGGTTTAAGGAATTCTGCCTTTTACATTCTATAATTTCATAAAACAGACTGGGGAGGGGGGAGAACTCAACTGATCAGGGGTCCCCTAATCAATCCCCCATATACACAACTTCCAAATCCAATGATCTTTTAAAATTTCTCCATTCTTATTAATCTTTCTGCAGCATTTAACATTTTTGATTATTATCTTCTCTGGAATACTTGTTCCCATCTGGGTTTTCATAACACTGCTTTCAGTCTCCTTTGCTGTATCATCCATGTGATATATCCTAACTATGGTTATACTGCAAGGCTCTGTCTTGGGCCCCCCTTATTTTCTTTTCTCTCTCCTTTGTCTTCTTCTTCTTCTTCTTCTTCTTCTTCTTCTTCTTCTTCTTCTTCTTCTTCTTCTCTTCTTCTCTCTCTCTCTCTCTCTCTCTCTCTCTCTCTCTCTCTCTCTCTCTCTCTCTCTCTCTCTCTCTCTCTCTCTCTCTCTCTCATCACACCAATTCCCATGGGTTCAGTTATCACACCTATGCTGATGGCTCTCAGATCTACCTATCCATCTTCTCTTCAATCCCGTATCACCAAGTGCTTAGTGTACGCTTCCAACTGGATACCCCTTAGCCATCTCAAACTTAACACATCCAAAACATAGCTCACTCTCTTTCTGTAAAGGCTACCTCTTTTTCTAAGATTCCTATTTCTCTTGAGGGTTATCATCATCTTTCCAGTTACCCAGATGTGTAAACTCAGAGTCATCTCTGTCTCTCTCCCTCACCTTACATATACAACTGATTGACAAGTCTTGTCAGTGCTACCTCCTCAACATCTTTCCTATATATGCCCCATCTTTTAACTCACTCAGCCACTATTTTAGTCTGTCTGGACAATTGTAATATCCTTCCAATTGGTCTCTACTTCCAATTTCTCTCCCTCTAGTCCATACTACATGCAGCTACTTATGCTTTAGGTACAGAGTGAGGCTGGTGACCTTGCACAGCCCTGCCTCACTTAAATCCAACTCACTTGCATGTCGTGGCATCACCTCCCTGATGTCATGGTCCTTTTGGGGAACGAAGGACAAACAACAACAACCTGTTAGGATATAAACTCTCTAGAAACAGAAACTATTTGTTCAGGCAGTTAGGTGGCACAGCAGATAGAGCACTGAGCTTAAAGTCAGGAAAACCTGAGTTCAAATCCAGTCTCAGATGCTTACTAGCTGTGTGACCTTGGGTAAGTCACTTAAACCTGTGTGCCTCAGTTTTCTCATCTGTAAAATGAGCTGGAGAAAGAAATGGAAAACCACTCCAGTATCTTTGCTGAGATACTGGGCCTGGATCTGTGACATCCCGGGTCATAGAGAGTCACACACAACTGAAACAACTGAATGACAGCAACAACAAATAGTACAGTGCCTGGCTCATAGTAGGTGCT